GGTGGAGCATTACCTGCAGATGGAGGAGCACCAGATGGTGAGGCCGGGCACTGCTCACCAGGAGCATCCTGCCCCATAGGCTTCTGGGACTCTGTTTCAGAGCTCAGATGTTGTCATTGATTTTCTTGAAGTAACAGGCTCACTTTGTTCATTTTTTGAGAAAATATCTGCCACCTACCCAAGTCTGAATAACCACAGTTTATCTCAGTCGTTTAAAAAAATATGGTGTTCTTGGCTTGGTGCAGTGGCTCATGCTTGCAATCGCAGTACTCTGGGAGCCTAGGCAGGAGGATCACTTGAGCTCAGGAGTTGGAGACCAGCCTGAGCAAGAACAAGACCCCATCTCTACTAAAAATAGAAAAAATTAGCTCGGGAGGCCGAGGCAGGAGGATCGCTTGAGCCCAGGAGTTTGAGGTTGCTGTGAGCTAGGCTGATGCCACAGTACTCTAGCCTGGGCAACAGAGCAAGACTATCTAAAAAAAAAAAAAAGATGTTCCATGTAAAAGTGACTAATTTAGCTCACAAGTAACTTAGCTGCACAAGTGTTTTTTCTCATCTTCACCAACACTCTTTTCCTTTTAGCCATCCCAGATGGAGTCTCTCATTGTGGTTTCAATTTACATTTTCTTGATGACTGATGATGTTGAGCACCATCTCCTGTGCTCATTATCCATTTGTATGTCTTCCTTCATGAAGTCTTTAAATCTTTTCCCATCATTTTATTGGGTTTTTAATCTTATTGTTGAGCTGTGTTCTTCATATACTCTAGATACATTCCCTTTATCAGATATATGATTTGCAAATATTTTCTCCCAGTCTGTGAGGAAGTTCCCTTCTATTCCTCTCTTTCCTCTCCTGAAAATCCAATTACTTGTATATACAGTGTTGTCACTGTCCCCTACTCAACTGACACTTTCCTTTTTTCCTAGGTTTTTTTCTCTGTGTTTCAGTTTGGGTGGTTGCTATTGCTTCAAGGTCACCAATTTCCTTCTGTAGTATCTACTCTTACTTTAATCCCATCCCCATTTTTCATCTCAGACATTATAATTTTCATCTCTAATAATCTGATTTGGCTCCTTCCCTATATATTCCATGTCTCTCGTTATCATCCTTGCACCTTTCTCTGCCTTCTTGAGCACATGAAGTCCATTTATAAGAGTTTTCATGTTCTTGTCTCCAAACTCTGTTGTGTCTGTTCTGGATCTGTTTCTATGGATTTCTTCTTTTTCCTATGGCTCATATTTCCCTGCTTCTTTGCATGTTCAGTAATTTTTCATTGATTCCAGACACTGAAAGTGTTTTAGGATGTTGGATGGTGAAATGTGTGTGTTTGTGTGTGTGTGTATTCTTTTCTTTTCTTTCTTTCATTTTTCTTTTTGTAGTCTTCCTCGGAATGCATTTTCTTTTAAATATTTTTTAGCCTTGTTCTAGGGTGAGGTTAAGTTACTTGGAAACAATTTGATTCTTTTGCAGCTTGCTTTTTAGCTTTGTAAGATGAGTCCAGAACAGGCTCTTGTGTCTAGGGCTAATTTTGCGCCACTACTGAGGGGTCTGCTCTGCATGCCTCATGTATTGGGAGGTCTTTCCCCTCTGGCAGGGGGGAGCATGAACTATTCCTGGGCGTGTATGATCAATCTCTGGGGTTGTTCTACCTGGTCACTTCCAGTGGTTTTTCCCTGGCCTCAGTTACTTTCTTCACATGCATGCACTATTTACTCAGCTGAAGACTTGGAACCCTCTTCAGGTCTCCAGAGTGCTGTCTCTGCCTCTCTGCTCTCTCCTGTCCAATACTCTATTCCATGAGTTCTAGCTGCCTCGGTCTCCCCAGACTCAGAACCATCTCCTTAGCGCAGACTGCCAGCTGTTTGGTTACCCTGTCCCTGCACTGTGGCCTAAAAACTCTCAAGGCAGTAAGCTGGGTGGCTGAGTTGATCTTTATGAAGTATCTCCCTTCGTCTCTGGTAGTATTCTTTTGAAGTGTCCCTACTGTGTCACTAGCATAGCTAGCCTGCTGTCTTATGCTTAGTGTTGTATGGCATATCCTTTCCTTCCTTTTGTTTGCTCATGTGTCATTGTATTTAAAGTACATTGCTGGTAAACAGTATACAGTTGGGTCTTTCTACAATTCTGATAATCTCTGCATTTTAATTGGAATGTTTTATCCACTTAGATTTATTTATTTAATTCCACCCACCCACATTTGTCCTTCATGTTCCCAAGGACAGAGATACACGTAGACCTTGGTGCATCCTGACGTTCTGCCTGTGGACTGCATTCCCCTAGCAGATAGATCTGGGGAGAGACAGTGCCCAGGGAGTCTCTCTGCTTCATCTCAAGTGCTCACAAACCGAGAATTGACAAAGTGATTTTAAATATGCTGGCAGTGTCGGCCCCACTAGGTTATCCAACAGGTGGTGGTCCCCAAGTCTGAAGGTCAGCACTGTGAGGCTGCCTTGTGCCCTACCATTTCCACTCACTGGCCCCTTGTGTTGCAAAAAACTCAGTCTAATTCCAACAAGTTTCCTTTCTTTTTTTATTTTGTTTTTGTTTTGTTCTGAGATGGGTCTTGGAGTGCAGTGGCTGTTCACAGGCACAATCATAGCTCACTACAGCCTTGAGCTCCTAGGCTCAAGTGCCCCTCCTGCTGCAGCCTCCGTGGTACTTGGGAGTACAGGTGTGCACCACTGCATGCTTTTTGGAGAGCTGCAATTTTGTGTATAAAACAAAATTGGACGATAGAGATGCTCAGATTTTTGTATCTTCAACATTAACAGAAAAATCATATCTTAAGTATTTCACCAACTTCTTTATTGTCTCTATGCTTGTTTGAAGCCTGTGGAATTTAGGGGTTTTTTGAGACAGAATCTCACTCTGTTGCCCAGCACTAGAATGCCGTGATGTTAGCTTAGCTCATAGCAACCTCAAACTCCTGGGCTCAAGCAATCCTAATGCCTCAGCCTCCTGAATAGCTGGAACTACAGGCATGTGCCACCATGCCGGCCAATATTTTCTATATATTTTTGTTGTGTGGCTAATTTCTATTTTTAATAGAGATGGGCTCTCACTCTTGCTCAGGTTGGTCTTGAACTCCTGAGCGCAAGTGATCCTCCTGCCTTGGCCTCCCAGAGTGCTGGAATTACAGGCATAAGCCACTGAACCTGGCCTTAGGAATTCTAAATTTAAAAAAACTCAAAACTATAAACAAACTGAAATGGGCATGCACAAGCATCCTCTTGGTAGAAGAAACCCTGTTGCTGCTCTCTCCATCTCTCTTTTAGGCCCCTTACCCTCAGCGGGGCCACTCACCATCCACTCAGTTCTCACTGCCCTGGCATCAGACCCAGACCTTCACAAACTCCTGATCTTGGGCATCAAATACCTCCCCTGTTCATGGTGTGCAACAACATGCCATCTTTGCTGTCCTGCACCCTGCCCCTAGCCTGTCTTTGGTGACTGCCTTCCTTCTAGAGATGCTTCCTTGCCCTTGATGAAACCAGCTCTGTGCACTCAGGGGTCCTGGGTGCTAGGCCTTGCGCATTAGGACATACGTGGGCCCCTTCTGGCCACAAGGCCTTTTCCCATCTCCTGACTCCTCCCTCCCCTTGTCAGCCCTTCCCTGAATGCTACTGCCAGACCTCATCATCCCTCACCCGTTCCTCTTTGCACTTGAGTCCCACATGTCCAGCAGGGCACCTGGGGCACGGGGGAGGGGGGTATGTGAATGCCTAAGGAAACATCTCTTCACACACAGGTGTTTGCTCACATCCTCTCCTTTGAGAGAACATGGAGGGCTTGCACATTGCCCATCCACCCCAGGCAGAGGCCTTCTGTACGTGTGGATCAATTTCGGGATGGTATCAGTCACCCAAAAAGCATTTTCTTTAGACAGGGCCTCAGTCTGTCACCCAGGCTGGATTGCGGTGGTGTGATCCTAGCTCACTGCAGCCTCAAAAAAAATTTAAAAATACTGATGACAGCTTATAGTTTTAACCATTCAGAGCTTGAAACATGTGCCATCTATGGACACCATGATCCCCTCATCAACACTGGGAAGCCCCGGGCCACCGGGTCCGAGTGTCCTCCGGAAGTGGAGGCTTTCCTCTGACCAAGGGTAGCGAGCCAGGTACCTTGAGGGGATTTAGGAGCCTTTTTCTAGCGAACAAATGGGACGGCTCCTTCGGTTCTCACTGTGGACTAAACAAGCACCTGGCTGTTACCTCTGCCCTAGGCCTACAAGTACCTGGAGGAGATGCGCAAGAGAATCCCCTCTGCCAACATGTCCTACTACGTGAGCCAGCGCACCACGGACGCCGTGCTCCAGGGCCTTGGCCTCCCTCTGACACGTGTCATGCCCGAGCGGATCCGCCACAACAGCATGGAGGACCCCAGGGATGTGGACGAGGAGGTGGTGGAAGAGGTGGAAAATGACACCTGATGGGCCTGGGCCCCTGGCCAGCCAGCATCCTCCCACTGGAAGCATCTTCTGGAATTTTCCAGTTGCCAATAGCAGCAAAAGGCAGCTTTTTTGTTCCCCAAAACCCTTCATGTGTTGGCATACGTCAGCAGAGCTATAACAGGACAGGGACCCAGTTGCCAGGGCCCAGTGGGAGCATGTTTAGAAGGGAAGAGTGTATTTATATTTTTAAACCATTCGTCTGGTATTCCTGCCTCCAGGCACCCGGCAGCTCCTATGGGTTTTTGGATTAATTCCTTTAAAGGCAGTTGGATTAGTCTTTCCCACGATATTCTCCCAACTATCAAGAGACTTCAAGAACTTCATGACGCTGCATCCAGAGGACAGGGGACACCTGCTACCCTGTTCCCCATGCCCTTCCCTGAGCCTATCCGATGGTCACCTGGCATCGAGGGCCCAGCTGGCCCTCCTGTGACTCCAATAAAGTTTATTTTCTCAGGCCCAGGCTCTTCCTTCCGCGCACAGGCCCTCCGGGCACTGCATTCCCGGCCTGAGCCCAGTAGTCAGAACCACAAGAAGGCCGTGCTGGGGACCTGCAGTTCTTTTTACTGTTCTGAGGACACGACGACGTGAGAAGCACAGGGCTGTGCCTGCCTGCTGGCTCCGTGGGAGTGCTGGGCCCTACGCAGCAGCTCCTGTCATCCTCCCCTGCTGCTCCCCATTCTGCCCTCACTGGAGGGGCCAGCTCTCCCTGCCAACGCCACCAGCCCCAGCCCTCGTTCAGGTTGCTGTGTGCTGTGACAGGCAGTACCCAGGCCCTTGTGTATTTTTAGCCCAACACTCAGACTTGCTGGGCTAAAAATAGCAGCAGGGGTGCAGCAGGGCAGCAGGCCTTTCTGCATCTGCACGCTCGGGACCGGACGCCGCTCCAGACCCAGCCGCGCTACGAAGCCCAGACGTGTGCCTGGGTGCTCCTCCGCTCCGCTCCTCAGGCCTCCTGCTCGGCCCCAGCCTGCCTGGCTCCCCGGGCCTCCTGTGCTGGGGAGGGGCGGAGGACTAAGGCGAGGGTGGGAGGAGCTTGTCCTTGAGTCTCTCCAGAAGCAGCAGAGCCTTCACCGCCAGCACCCTGCAGTCCTCATCCGGGTCCTTCTCCGCCACATCTGCAGAAGATAAGAATGAAAACGAAACATGAGGCAGCGTCACAGGGCCAGCTGTTTGCTCTCTTTTCTTTCATCTGAAGTCTTCCTGAGTTAGCCACCTGCCAGGCCTTGGGCATGTGGCACCAGAACCCTCACTAAGGCCCCATCTCAAATGCCTGGCAAGGGATGCACCACCATGTCCCCGTTCGTGAGCAACCCTTCCCCCCAGGGCTGGGAGCCTGGGCCAGAGGGCCAGGTGACGGGGACATCCCACCCACCGCAGTACCAGCCTGGGAGAAAACCGGCCAGAGGAGAGGCAAGATCCTTCCTGGGCCTGGCACTGCTGCGAGACACACACAGGTGAGCGGGTGGAGGTGTATAGCCCTCACCCTGCCAGACCCGACTCGAGTGCAGGCAGGGTCTGCACAGGAGCCTGGGACTCTCCCCAAGGCCCTGGCCCCTGCACCGCACACAGACAACTGTGACCACGTGATGGTGGGGGAGGGGCTGCCCAGCCCAGGAACACGCAGGGCCCACTGCAGCCCAGAGGGTCAAGCTGTATAGCAGTGCCACAATGCTGAGTCACAGAGGCAGAGGACTCAGAAATGTTTGAGGGGCCGCCCAGCACTTGGTGGGAGTCAAAGGTGCCCCCACCCATGGAGGAGGCCAGGGAGGTGGGTGTCTTGGGGTCTGGAGCCACACACTGCCCCACTCAGGGCAGCACCCAATCTCTAGCTGTCCCCACCACGCCAGGGCCCTCACCAAGGCCTCCTCAAGCCTGGCAAGCCACCGGAAGCTCTGCTTGTAGGGGTTACCCCAGCACCCCTCACAACGTGCAAGGGGGCACCTAGAGATCCGCGGGGGAGTCTGCCTGTGAGCGTGTCGTGCTCAGCCACGGCGCTGCCCTGACCACAGGGGACAGGCTGCACTGTCTGGACCCCCATGTGCCCTGAGCTAAAGTGACCACTGAGGACCAAGTGCTTCTGTCCCCACAAGGACCCCAGACAGCCGGGACACAAGTGCTCAGTCCTTGGGGAAGCAGGAGGCCAGTGGCCGGGAGGAGTGTGGCACCCTGCCCCCGCGCTGGAGGCTCACGCACAGCCACGGAGGGAAACGTCGTCCTGGATGCAGCAGGACCGAGGACGCCGCCTGGCAGCTCAGTGGCAGCTAAGGAGGGAGCTGGGTGGCTCCAAGGGGACGTCATCTGAAGGGCCCTCAGACACCTGCCCCACTTGTCAGAGACACAGGCTCTGGCGGTAAGATGTATGCACTCAGCCACCACCCTAAGCACAGGGACCTGAGACAGGGAAGGCCTGTCAGTCCCACGCTCTGCTCCTCACCCCAGTCCCCAGCAGCTCCACTCCCACGGGAAATGCCCATTCAAACCCCATGAGCTCAGCAGCCCCTCCAGCAGATGACCCGACTGTACCCCGAGCAGGAGCCCACGCCCAGGTGGAGAGATGGCTGAGGCAGAGCAGACAGAGCAGACATCCTCCCCGCCATCCCCACGGGGAGGAAGGCCTCACCCCAAGGATCCTACCAGCGTCCCCAGCATGGGTGCCTGCAGCGCAAGTCCCTGAAAAGGAGCCTGCATTGGCCAGGACTGTTCTGACACACGCAGAGTTGGGGTCCGTGAAGCCACAGCAAGGGGCACAAGCCAACCACTGGGCTTCAAAAGCCACAAGACAACAAAAGGCAGCAGGGAGCCATGCCGACCGAAGGCGCCCAGGAAGGCGGCAGCTCAGGGCTGCATAGGGCCCTGCTGGGTCCCAGGTCACGGCTGAAGGGAAAAAAAGGGCCAGTCCTGGGGCAGCCAGGCTGGATATTCTCTCCACGTGGTGTCCTGAGGGGGTCACAGTGGCCTGTCCTTAGGCCCTGCTCAAGGACCCGGGGTGAAGAGTCACAACGTCTGCAACTGACTTTACAAAGAACATTTATGTCCTGGTGCGGTGGCGCCTATAGTCCCAGCTACGTGGGAGGCTGACAGGAAGATCACTTGAGCCCAGGAGTTTGAGGCTGCTGTGAGACACCGTGAGACCCTGCCTCTAAAAACAAAAAATAATCCAATAGGAGGAGCACGGTGGCCAAACGCTCCATGGGTGAGCCTGGGGGGAGGCGCCCACTCCACGGTCCTCGAGGCCAGTCGGGACTTGGGGTTCAGGAAGGACCACTGTGGGGACACCTGCCCCCGGGGTCCGCTGCGAGGCTCCCAAAGTGGCCATGACAAGTGGCCATGACAAGCACCGTCTCCCCTGCCCCCCACATTGAGGCCACCATAAGCCTGTCGCCACCACGGAGGAACGCGCCCATCCGGACGGGCTGGGCCGCGCGCTGGACCTGGTCCACGCCAGACGCCTCCGCCTGCCTCCCGGACACAGCCCGGGCGCACACACCTGCCAGCCAGGACCTGGCCTCCAGCAGCTCGTCCGGCAGGTCCTCCAGCAGCCGCCGGGCGGGTACGCTGAGCAGGACGGAGGACACGGCAGACAGCAGGCCCCGGCGCACGTAGCTGCCAAGCAAGGAGGCGGAGGCGGAGGCTGAGCCCCTCTGGCCCCGCCCGGTCCCCGCCAGGCACATTTCCTATTTGGGAAACGTAGGGTCAAGCTGCCTCCCGGCCGCCCCGAGGCTCCGTGTGGCCTCACCTATGACACCTGTGCGAGACCCACCCTCCCCCAGCCCTTCAGGCCACTCACGTGTCGCCGTGGAAGCGAAGGGCCCACACGAACTCCAGCAGGGCCTTGCCCATGGGCATAGCCACCTGGGGGCCAGCACAGAAGCGGTGGGCAGGGGCCCTCCTTGCCCATCCCCACCCCCAGCAACCACGCAGTACGAGGGATGTTCCGCTGCCCTGCAGAGCCTCACGCAGGCAGCCCCTCCCTCAGACACCTGTTCCCGGGGCCAGGTGAGGCCGAGGCTCATGCTCCAGGCATGGGCACTTCACCCCCCACCCCGCCGTGGGCAGCAGAGGCCACGCATGCTCAGCACCTTCAACCCCCCCCAACTCACCGTGGTATTAACGGCCAGGTACATCATGGCCCCTAAGGTGTGAGTCAATCTCCCAAGAACCAACTGGTCATCTCCCAAAAGGTCGAAGGTCACCAGAGGCCTGCAACACAGAAGTGAGCAAATGGTGCAGCATGGGCACCTCGGGCGGGCTCCCCACAACCCAGGGAGACCCTGGGAAGCTTCGCAGAGCCTCTCCTGCACTTGACACCCTGACCCCATGTGGCACCAAGAGAGCCATAGGAGGTGTTTCCAGATGCCCGGTCACTCTGCAGGACTGCCTGGCACGGCCCAGCCTTGGTCAGGAGCTCCCAAGGCCAAGGCTCCCACCCGCGCCGCACTGCGACCCATCAGCCCCACACCCTGACCTGGGGGCCCGGCTCTGGCTGGGGCAGGCCAGGCAAGGGCAGCGTCTGCCAGCACACAATCAGCCCACCATGCACCCAACGTCTGGGAACCAGTGATGATGAAAACCTCACTACAGGCCGGGCGCAGTGGCTCACGCCTATAATCCTAGCACTCCTGGGAGGGCGCCAAGGCGCGGGCGAAGGTAGCTTCAATGTGTCCAGTGGTCACATCTTCAACGCAGCCTAGCATTTAAGGGCAAGACTCTTCCGTCCTACTATTTATCATATTATTTGGAAAGAATTTAATTGCCCAACTAATATATATAATGTTAAAAAATTCACCGCCGGGCATGGTGGGCGCAATGCCTTGAGTCAACGCAGCTACTCGGAGAGGCTGAGGCCAGGAGGATTGCTTCGAGCCAGGAGTTTGAGGTGCTGTGACCTAAGGCTGACGGCCACCGGGCACTATGTCACTCTAGCTAGGCCCAAACAAAGCTGAGGATCTATCTCAAAAAAGGAACAAGCGGCTCACTAGGCA